TTCTTTTTTTTTTTTTTTTTTTTTTTTTTTTTTTTCACCAGTACTGAACCCCAGACCCTCACACTGAGTTGCATTCCCAGCGCTTTTTTACTTGTTTTGAGATGAGCTATCACTAAGTAACTGAGTTGCCCAGACTGGGTTAAAATTTAAAATCCCCTTGCCTCAGCCCCTGGAGAGTTCTAGGGTTACAGACATGCACCACTGTGCCTGGTTTAGGTCTTTAATGTGTCTTTGAATGTGCTATTCTATAAGAATCCAACCCCTTGCCATATATTGAGCCTGTGTTCCCGGTACTGTCTATTTAAGAATCAGTCCAATCCCAGTGGAATAGTGCCGCCTCTATCATGTAGGAAGTCCCCATGCATACCTAGGCCTGTTCCTGACAGTGTGCTGCTCCATGGTCAACTCTGTCCTGCCAATACTACACTGTTTCTGCTGTTATAGCTCATCTAAGTGAGGGGAAGGACCACAGAGAAACTGAAGAGCCCCATCTAGTTATAGTGGAGGAGGTACATGTCACCCAAGCCCTGCAGAGGGTCAGGGGAGGAACAGCTGTGGGACATGAAGGCAGGGTTGGACAGCACTCTGGCCTATGCCCTTTCTTTGAGAGACTTATCAGTCCCTTGGGAGGGACTCAGAAGGATTAATACTTGGAACTTGGATTTTACTCTTTCCTTAGGGTATAGGAGACCCAGCCATAGAGGTCATGCAAACTTAGAGGCCCTAGAACTCTGCTCTGATGTCAAGTATGTGGCTTGCACTGAGATTCATGTCCTGTTCCCCACAAACATTAAAGTCAGGCTAACAAATAGGTCAGCCTCCTAGAGCCCAGAGCTGGGAAAAGAATGTGGAGGGGTCTGGGAGGCCAAGGGGAAGAAATGTGAGACCCATCATCCATCTCCCACATTGTCCAGCAAACTCTGAGCAGTTGCTTTAGGCAAGGCAATCAGGGAAGGCTTCTTGGAGGAGGTGGGGTCTGGCTCGAAGGCTAGGACCGTGTCTCATCCCCTGCTCCTCCCCTCCCAGATGGTGCTTCAAGAGACAGCTTGTGGACCTGGTGATGGAGGGGGTGTGGCAGGAGCTGCTAGACAGCGCCCAGATTGAGATCTGTGTGGCCGACTGGTGAGTGGAGTGGCAGCCTGCCCCCAAGGGATAGAGGTGGTAGCAGTGTGCAACAGCAGGGCCTCCGGTCCAGCCTTCAGCCCCCTGGGTGGGTGGTATGTGAGGCTGGGAGAGGAAGTGAGGCGCAAAGATACAGAACAGGGAGGGGCAGTGCCTTGCTGAGCCCACAGCCCCTGCCTCGCACTCTTAAGGACCCTGGGACTGTCCCCAAGGACTCACCGACTTGCTTAATACCCCATCACCCTAACCCAGTGCCAACTCTAAAGGTGCCCGAGGCTTCTGAAGGGTGAGAAGCACTATGCCCTGAGAACTCAGCTCAGAGGAGACACAATGGGAGGGGCTGGCTGGCTTCAGAGCCCGGATGCCTTATTTCTGCTAGTGCTCCTCTTTCAGACCACAAAGGCTTTTTCCTCTAAGCACTCTGTCTCTTCCCCCACCTCTGCTTCTACTTCACCTCACCAGGATCCTCCTCGGGGTCGTGGCTTCTCCCAAAATGGTAGCCCCGCCCCTCAACCTAGCCAATCAGAGCTTCCCAGGATCCTCCTCGGCTTAGCTCCAGCCCAGGAGGATGTTGCTCCCTAGAAGAGCCCAGTGACCATTAGATGTGGCGTATGGGTGTAGGACACTATGTACATGCTGGAGGCCCTTGGCCCCCCTCCTGCCAACCCAGAGAGCTGGCTGGGTGGCGGGGCCAGGGAGTCTCACTGCCACGTGGTAGGTGGGGTGCCCGTGAGAACTGCGGCTGCGTCTACCGTCTTCGGGTGCGCCTCTTGGACGTGTACGAAAACGAAGTGGTCAAGTTCTCAGCGTCACCCAACCCGGTCCTTCAGTGGACTGAGAGGAGCTGCCGACAGGTGGGTCCAGACCGCCTCCCACTCACCCTGACCTGCTTTGGGCACGCGAGCCCAACCTGCCAGCCTGCTGTGTCGCCGTGCACAGCTGCCATTGGTGCTGGCTGCCGGTAATCCTAGCTAGCGATGATTGAGCACTCACCACACCCCCTCCCATGCCTGTTCCGAGAGGTTTACGGATTCATTCATTTCCGTAGCACAACAGCCTACCTGTTCAACCGACATTTATTGCGCACCAGCTGTGTGTGCAGAAAACTGCTAAAGCAACGAGAATGCAATGGTGAACGGAATTTTTTGCCCTACTCCATTGTAGGGTTGGGCAGCCTCAGGCACAGACAGGTGAATGAGTGGCTGGAATGCCCAGAGCCCAATTCAAGTCCAGGCTGACTCCTAAGCCTGTGGCAGGCATCACAATCATCACAGTTTAAGTATCAAAGCTACCTTCTAGGTAGCTTCTTGCTGTCCTGCCCTCTTCCCCTGTGACCTCAAAAGACAAAGCATCCAGAGGATGACACTAAAATCTGAGTCCTATCACCACATTTTTCTGTGGGTCACCCTCCTTTGGCTGCAGCTCAGAGGAAAGGACACACCAGGCAAAGCTAGGAGACATGAAATAGATTAGTGGTCGCCAGGGGCTGAGAGAAGGAAAGAACTGGAAGTGGTGGCTGATGGATACAGGAGTCTTTTTCTGGGGTGATAGAAATGTTCCAGAGTGCAAGAATGGTGCTGGTTGCATGACAGTGTAAACACAGTAAAAGTCACTGGAGTATGCACCTTAAGATAGTGACACTTATGTCTCATGAATTTTATGTCAATTAAAAAAAATTGAAAAAAAAGGCCAGAGTCCTCCTGGAACCCAAAGACCCCCCAACACACGATCTGCCCATTACTTCTGTGAGCTGGTCTCCTACTTCCCCCCTCTCTGCTGCAGGCGTGCTCCCACCACAGGGCCTTCGCACAGCTACTCACTGACTGGAACAGCCTTCCTCCATAGCCCCACATGGCTGCCTCCTCTCCTTCAAGTGTCTACTCAGATGTCACCTCAAGGGGGCCCTCACTGGCTTGCTTCACTCCTGTGTCTGCCACCCTCCCCTGTGCTCCCCCACCCAACCTGCCCCCTGCCTTCAGTGTCTGCCCCTAGGGAAAGGTCATTTTCACGGAGCAGGGGCTTCCTGCTGCTGGCTTCACTGCTTCTCCCTTGTACTCAGCACAGGCCCTGATGCCTACTTGGTGCCTGGGCAGAGTGTCTACAGAGGCAGAAGAGCCCACGCCCCCACCCTCTCTCCTTTCCCCATAGGTCTCCCACGTATTCACCAACTTTGGCAAGGGCATCCGTTATGTGTCTTTTGAGCAGTACGGAAGAGACACACGTTCCTGGGTGGGGCACTATGGTGCCCTTGTGACCCACTCCAGCGTGAGGGTCAGGATCCGGCTTTCTTAGCCGGCCCACATGATCCATCCCTCCAGGACACACTGCCATCTGCTGGATGTTGTCAAAATCAAAATGGCTTTGCAGACAGCCTGAGGATGCCCAGACGCTGAGAATCCTGTTGCGTCATGGTGACCCTCCGGCTGTGGACGAACCAGAGACCCTGCCACCACTTCATGGCTTGCTCGGCTCCCCAGGTGGGGATGTCATTAGAGATAGGCAAGGGCATGGTGGCACACACCTGTAATCCCAGCACTCGGAAGGCTGAGCCAGATGGCTATGAATTCAAAGTAGGCTATATAATGAGATCCTATCCCAAAACTAAATAAAACTAAAATTTTTTAAAAAGAGACAGTTTGTTTGCTGTTCCCTCACGGGTGGACATCAGTGAGTAAACTGAGTCAAGAAATTAAGGCCAAAATAGCCTTTGTATTGGGGGGAGGCTGTTGATCAGGAAAGGGTGACTCTTGTCCACACGGTTTTGGAGTGTAAGTGGATTTTTTTTTTAAATTTTATTTGTGTGTGTGTGTGTGTGTGGCCAGCTCAGCCCACCAGGGGGCGGGGCTGGCTGGCATGTGGTGCTGGGGGATTGAACCGTGGTCCCTGTGCTTTGCTAAGCTTGTTCTAAGTAGGTGCTTTAGACCACTGAGCCATCTCACCAGCCCTGTAAGTGGATCTTTCGCAGAAGCCAGAGGTCAGATGGGCCATCTGTCCTTGACACCCATGGGGCCCTTGAAGGAAACCCTGTTGTTTGGGGGTCTCTGGGACTCAGCTGCAGGGCCCTATACCCAGCCATCTGGGCATTGTCCAGCTCCTCCTGTGGGCCAGGTGTCTCTTCAGAATCCCAAGGCCAGTCCTTACCCCTACCTCCCACAAAGGGACCTAGAGGGAAAGTGCATCCCCAAGTCCCAAAGTGCTATCCAACAGGGCCTGGCCAACCTACTGGCTCAGTCAAATTGGTGTGAAGTGCAAGGTATTTTTTGTCAAGACTTGATGCTCTAGAATGTAGGGACTCTGTGTCTGGGTGACCTCCTCCTGCCAGCAGTAAACTCTGACCCCAAGAGCACTAATGGGGGACTTTTTCGCAAAAGGGAGAAACAGCAGCAAGAATGAGGAAAAGAGAGACAAGAGCTGGGTCATATGGAGGTCTGTTTGCCTGATGAGCAAAGAACAACAGCAGGGGTGTTGTTCTATTTATACCTTTGCAAAGTTAGTATCAGGAGACAAAAGGTTGCCTAGCAACTAACAGCCAAAATTGTCCAGGCAGGTATTTTTCTCAAGACTGAAGTAGCTGGGCTGCTTTAGGCATGTGGCCTTGCTTGTCCTGCCCTCCCACATGACCAATTTCCAGCTTCAGCCACTCCCAAACCAGAACTTACAATCGCAAGCACCTTGGGAGGCCGCATACCAAGTGCCTGTAAGAGCTTCCAAACCAGGGACACCTGGGACAGGTCCTCAGCGGCCTGCCCAGCAGTTCTCAGGCAGCGGCACTCATCAATACCACATAGTCCAGGCATAGCCAGTTTTGCTTGCTTTTGTTTGTTGAGACAGGGTCTCACTGGGTAGTCCAGGTCTTGAACTCCCAAGACCCCCCTCCCAGCTTCAAGTGCTAGAATTATTGGCACGCTGCCATGCCCATTTTAGGGTCAGGATTTAAATGACCTGCCTCAACTCACTGAGCCGGTAGGCAGGAGAGATGGGGTTCGGGCCAGTTCTGCTCCAGAGCCAGATGACGACCATAACCTTCACAACATAAAAGCCAACACGGGCACGCTTGTGATCACACAATTCTGATGGTGAGAATCCCCCTCAGTGAGAGTGTCCAAGGGGAAAGGAAAAGGCCCAGAGAAGGGAACCATTACAGCTAGCTCCCAAGGCAGTTAGGGGTGCAGCCAGAACTGGAACCCAGCTGTGTCAGCTAACATCAAAGAACACCTCTCAGGATTAAAGAACCCCATTCAACCCATTTAATACCAGTAATACAACCTGGCCTTCCCCAGAGGGCAGCAATGCAGCCAGGCCTTATCACTGCTGCCAGCAGGCTGCAGAGCTTAAGCCTGAGCAGCCCACACAGGCACTGTGCGTGCAGGGCTATCGAATCTAATCTTCCCCAAACCACAGAGCTGCTGCAGATATAACCACTTTCTAGAAGAGAACACTGCAGCCAGGAGAGGATGGCAACGCCACAACCACACCCAGAGGGTGGGTAAGGCACCAGGGAGTCACATGACAGTCATCAGGATCTGCGTTTATTACAACCCCTTTCTAGCCTACAGCAGCAGTCTTGGCAGAAGAGGCCCCTCCTGCCAGTAGTGAACTTTGACCCCAAGAGTACTAACGGGGGATGTTTTCACAATCCACCCCCAGAACCCACATGAGCTGGTGGGGGTCCTGATGGAAGAGGCAGGGCTCAGGTTTACAGCCTCAACAGCAGGAAGAGCTGGTTTCAGGAGCTGGAGGGCAAGCTTCTTTTTCTGCAGGGAGCCGGGGCCACTGTAGCCACCGGTCATTTCTTCTTCTGCACGTGGCCACAGTCATACTTGCCCCGAACAACTTTGAGCTTGACACCAGGCAAGTCCTGGGTGCGGCCACCCTCCACAAGGACCACGTGGTGCTCCTGCAGGTTGTGGCCCTCACCAGGAATGAAGCAGACAGCTTCCCGGCCGGTGCTGAGGCGCACACGGCAGCACTTGCGGTTGGCTGAGTTGGGCTTCTTGGGCTTGCGTGTGAATGTGCGCAGCACCACACCTTTCAGTTGCGGCCGGCCCTCTGTGGGGCCCAGTTTCTGGGGTGGCTTCTTGGGGGGCCCCAGGCGATGCATCTGGTTCAGGGTAGCCATGGAGCGGGTAGCCCAGAGCTGGGGAACTTGGGCCAGGCCTGGAGAGAGACAACCAGGAAGTGGAAAGCAGTCAGATAACAGCATTTGCAACTAAATTTTGGTGTTCCAGGCACAGATCCACGCACTCTGAAGGACACATGCATTTACACCCAGGGGTATTTGGGGATAATAGTAGTAACTGCTAATGTTTATTGAACAACCACGTGTCAGGTTTTAAGCCTTTTACATAAATTAACTTACTGTACTCTCAAAGAAGGTATTAATTTGAAAGCTGTTCAGAAATAGTGCCTATATCATACATCCATTCAGGCCATCCCTTCGGCAGCCCTGTGGGGGTGATCCTGGAGGCTCACCCCTCCTCTCAAGCCCACCCCAGCCTGTGAGCACATCCTCTCAGGTCAGCCCTCAGTACACTTCAGAATCCACAGCCTCTTCCTCCAGTGCTCGGCCCATCCTGGTCTGCTCTGTCCTTATCTCATGCTGGACTATGGTCCCCCTCCCCCATTCTCACACCCCTCCCCTCCCTCCATTCTGGCTTCCAAACACAGCCAGAGGGAGCCCAAACACCAGAAGTACATCATGTCCCTTCCCTGCTCAGTGCCTCATGGATCCATCTCAGGAGAAAGTTCTTCACTCCCATCTAACCTTGTGATTGCTCTGACCTCAGCGCTTCATTGGCCTCTGGCTCTTGCTATTCCAGCCTCAGGCCCAAAACTATCACCAGGGAAGAGAACATGGTGGCATAGTAAGAGAAAAATAGGCTGGGGGAGTTTCAGTGGGATTTGTTAAGGGAATGCACATAGCTACAAGATGCAAATAAAGACAACTGGGTGCTTAGGAATGTTAATCGAGCACCCACTGTGTCTGAGCCACAGTGATGGGGATGCAGCAAGGACTGAGAACACAGAGCCCTAGCAAGATCCTGGGCTCTGAGGTTATACTATCACTACTCTCCTCTCGCTGTGGCTTGAATGGATGTTCTACCAGCTCTCCAACCTGATACTCTCCTCCTTACCTACCCCTATTGTCCACCCCCATGTCTTTTGTCTATAGAGTGACAGCCAAAGTGGTCCCCCCCATTTTCTTTTTTTGAAATTTTATTTATTTATGTGTGTGGCCAGCTCAGCCCACCAGGGGGCGGGGCTGGCTGGCATGTGGTGCTGGGGGATTGAACCGCGGTCCCTGTGCTTTGCTAAGCTTGTTCTAAGTAGGTGCTTTAGACCACTGAGCCATCTCACCAGCCCCCCCCCCATTTTCTTTTTGAGACAAGGCCTTACTATGTAGATCAGGCCAGCCTTAAACCCACTGTGACTTCAATCTCATGATCTCCTGCCTCAGTCTCCTGAGTACTGGGTTCCAGACGTGTGCCACGACCCCCAGCGAGAGCCAAATTCTCAAAAGAAGCTGAGCCATTCTTAGAAGTGACTTTGCCTGGTACTATGCCTTTGAGCAAGGCTCTTGGTACCTGTGCCTCATTTTCACCTACATCCTGGGCACCACGACTGTATTCCCTCCTGGATGTCATGTGAGGCTACCATGAAAAATACTGCATGTCTAGTGAGCCCGAGGCAGGGAGCAGGCCTAACTTGCCCACCCTGGTGGTCTCTGCTAAATGACAGAGTGCTTAAAGATGGTTTTCAGAGCACAGAGGTGAATGAAATACGTCCCTCGGGATAGCCCATGAGAAGCAGTTGATGTCTCAGGACAGTACAGAGCCAGGTGCAGCCACCTGTAATCTCAGCTCTCTGAGAGCTGAAGCAGGAGGATCCTAAGCATGAACCTAACTTGGGCAATTCAGTAACCTAATGAGACAGTGTCCCCAATTAAAAAAAAAAAAAAAAAAAGCTAGGGATGTTCAGCGCTGAGGCCTTGGGTTCAATCCCCAGTACCAAAAACAAAGAAAAACATATAAATAAAGCTACTTAAGTGTCTGATAAATATTAGGGGCTGGAAAGATATCTGAAAAACTGACCACAGCACCTTGCTTGGCTGTCTCACCCACAGGAGGTAATAAATATGTGCTGAAAGGATAAAAAGTCACACGACGCTGTACCGGCAACACGCTCTGAGAAATGTGACGGTAGCAGGTATCTTGTGCAGACATACACGTAGACTGGCAGGTCGTCACCAGGCAATACAACCTGATGGAACAAACTGGCAGATGTGGTCCCCAACCTCGTCAGGCAAGGCACGACTCACGACCCCAAAGTGCTTGAGGCAGTTACCTTCAATGCAGCTAAGTCTCGTTGCTAAAAAACACCGGGGAGCCGCCCCTCATTTAAAGCCCACGAGGCACGCAAGTCATTTAAAGCCCAGAGGGCATAATTCTCGTCCCTGCAGCCCGACCTCCCCCACTTACCACGACTTAGGGACGTGCTGAGGCCACGCAGAAGGCTAGACCAGATCATCCTGTCTCCAGGTGCGTCCCTGTGGTAGGGGTAAGAGACTCAGAAAAACAGTGACTGTAGTCAACTGAGGGCCCAAATTCCTAAGGAAGTTGTTTTAGAGGTTTTAGCGTAACTTTTCATGCTATTAACAAAAAGACTCTGCAAAGTTGGCCGCGCTGTAACTAGGCTCTGGGGACGCAACCAGCTCAGCCCGCGTACATGAAAAAAGGGGAGACTGGGGAGAGGGCCGGGGAAATTTGAAGAATCAGGAAACCCCACCGACCTCACACCCCTAGCAGGGTCGGAAGGCATGCAGCGTCCTGCCTCTAACCGCTTCCGGAGGTTGCCAGGCAGAGATTGGCTGGTTCTGCTAGGAAAGGGGCGGGACATAAACGACATTGGGCAAAGACAGAGTCTATCTCAGTCTTCCTCGGTGAAGTTTCTGAGGTCCTGCCTACGCAATAGCCTCTAGAGTTTGATTGGTTTAACCTGAGCGGAGTGGTTCCTTTGCAATTGGTCTAAACGCGGAGTAGGCGGGACAAAGGGCTTCCTTTCCGATCCAAGATGGCTGCGTCCATGGCCCGGCGCTTGTGGCCTTTGCTGGCTCGTCGAGGGCTTCTTTCCCGGGGAGACTGCCTGTACGACCAAAGCCCAAGGAAAAATTTTGTTACAGAGAAACGAAGCCGGAATCTCCTGTACGAGCATGCGCGCGAAGGATACAGCGAGCTCCCCCATCTGGACGTGGAGCTGCTCTGCGCATGCCCAGAAGAGGTCGCGCGCGCCCTGGAGCTCCGCAAGGGGGAGCTGCGGCCGGCGGATCTGCCTGGGATCGTGAGTGCGCTTGCGCCGGACGGCTGCCGGGCGCCGGCTGCTCACTGCCGCGCTGGCTTCTCGGTAGCTCCGTTAGGGGGCAGAGGGTTCTTTTTTTTTTTTTTTTTTTTTTTTTTTTTTTTTTGTGGAACCGGGGATTGAACTCAGACCCTTGCGCTTGCCAGGGAAGCGCTTATTCTACTGAGCCATCTCCCGGGCCCAAGAGGCTTCTAATTGTAGAGGAATTTTAGTTCCTTCCAACGTTGGCTGTTGTCTTGGCCATGACATCTCTTTATGCGTCAGTGGCCCGCTGAGGGCCGTGATCTCCTGTGTGCCAGGGATGCCTTCTGTTATTTTGTGTGTGTCGTATCGCGCTGGGTACTTAGTGCGCTCTAGGGACCAACTATAAACAGTGCCAGCGCCCAATCGCATGGCAGGCTTACCCTCAGGCTACGCGCGCACACACACACACACACACACGCACGCACGCACGCACGCACGCACACGAGGAACAGGGTATGTGTCAGGCGGGGAAGGCACAGGCGCTGGAGGTCTTGCTTTCAGAGAGGTAGTTTTACACCGGTGGAGAAGCAAGCAGTTAAAACAGACTTTAGTGGATGAATGGTTCTGTTGAGCAGATATTTAAGGAACAGCTACTGTGTTCCAGGAGTTGAGTAATGGTGATTTAAAAAAAAAAAAATCTGTATGTAATACTATGTACTAGGAAACTGGAATTGGAGTCATCTTTTTTTCTCTTGCATTGGAGATTGAATCCAGGGCCTTCCCCCTGAGCTGCACCCCCAGTCTGTTTATTTATAATGATTAATTCTCTCTCTCGAGACACCATCTCACCAAGTTGCCCAAGCTGGGCTTGAACTTGTGATCTTCCTGCCCTAACCTCCTAGAGTGCTGGGATTACAGGCATGTGCCACCACATGAAAACTGGAATCATATCGCTGGTGAATGAATATAGTAGGGTCACCACATCTTCCTCGTCTACTCTTAGATCCTCCAACCAGCCTGTTCTACATGCTTTGTATACTTTGGCCTCTTAATTTTTGCAACAACCCTGTGAACTAAGTGTCATTATTTCCCCCTTGGTCTGTCAAGGGGAAATAGGCTCAGAGAAGTTAATTAATTTGCCAAGATCACAAAGCTGGTAAGTAACAGAGTAGGGATTTGAACCTATGCTTTTGGCTCCAGAACCCACAATCTGAACTATTCTCCTATGCTGTATCATATGCAAGATGAGCTGGCTTCACAGCCTAGTAAATGAGACAGGTATTTAACCCAAAGCGTTAAAAATGCTTCTTACAGGGGTTGTGCTCTCTTCAGAGCCCATCATCTAGTCCAAGCGGAGTGAGAAAAAGTCTAGGCCAGTAGCTTATCTTTAAGGAAATGACCCAAGCATCACACGTACCTCTTCCACTCATGTCCTTTGGTTGGTCTGGGTCACAGTAGCACAAGCTGCTGTAAAGGCATCTGGGAAATGTGCCTTAATTCAGGGCAGCCTGTTGCCCACCTCAGCATTTCGAGTTCTTGTCCTGAGGAAGGGGGTGTGGCTTTTAGGGCCCCAGGAGGGAACTCTGCTTTAGTACCCTCAGGCCTAGGTGGCTGGGGGTGAGGCTTCAGCAGCATCTCTTCCTCCTTTGTCCCCCCCACAGATCTCCACATGGCAGGAGCTGAGGCATCTGCGGGAGCAGATCCGGAGCCTGGAGGCTGAGAAGGGCACTGTGACAGAAGCGGTGCAGGCCCTGCTGGTGAGCAAGTGTCATGAGCAGGCGGAGGCCCCTTGGCCAGGGGTATTGGGAAGCCAGTATAGGGCACACTACACTGGGACAGTTATTTCCTCACATCATAGCTGCCGAGGGTCTTCAGCATCCCTAAGGTTGATTAGTTAGTGGCTGTTGCCAGCATCTCCAACCACATTCTCTGCCTCTCTGTGCTGGCAACTTCACTACACTGATCTGACCTCAGTTTCCCCATCATGTTTCCAAGATGGCTGCCATAGGGCAGCATTTCCTGCCATGAGTCTGCCAGAGACAGAGCAGGGACTTCTTGGGCTCTATGACTTCTCTAAGAGCAAGAACACGGTTTCCTGAGAGGACTCTCCTTATGTCTTCTGGGCCCAGAGGCCCACCCCTGTCATCACCAGCAAAAGTGATGGGGTTGCTGCTATGGCTTAGGACTCAGGCTGGGCCCATGTCTCCAACTGCAGGGAAGGTAAACAGAGTCAGACATACAGGGAAGGGCTGGGGAGATAGCTCAGCGGTCTAAGCACCTGCCTGGCAAGAGCAAGGACCCAAGTTTGATCCCTGGTAACACATGCCGTGCTGACCCCAGAACCCCAGGCACGCTGTGCCAGCCACTGAAACAGGGCATGGTGGCACAAGCCTGTACTCCCAGCACTGGTGAGGCTGAGACAGGAAGATCAGTACAAGTCCAAGCTGCGTAACAAAACCCTGTACCAAATAATAAATAAAAGATTTAAAAGATATACAGGGAAAAAGAAAGGGATCCTGGGTTAGACAGCCTAGTAACATCTACTATGAAGGGTTTAAAAACAATCATTTAAAAAATCTAACCAAGCCAGGCATGATGACATACATGTGTAATCCCAGCACTTGAGAGGCTGAGGCAGGAGGATGACTATGAGTTTGAAACCAGCCTGGGTTACATAATGAGTTGAAGGCCTACAAACTACAAAGTGAGATCCTGTTTCAGAATATCAATAATATTGGGGCTGGAGAGATGGCTCAGTGGTCTAAAGCATCTACTTGGAACAAGCTTGGCAAAGCACAGGGACCGCAGTTCGATCCCCCAGCACCACATGCCAGCCAGCCCCGCCCCCTGGTGGGCTGAGCTGGCTATACAGACACACACACACACACACACAATAAATAAAAAAATAAAAAAAAAAAAAGAATATCAATAATATGTTAAATATGCTTTAAGAAAAAAAAGTATAAAAATAAAAAATCAACTCAAAATAAAAGCAAAGGTAAACAAAACAGAAATAAGTACACACACACACACACACTCCAGCCAGGCACACCAGGTGACACATAACCTATAATCCCAGCTTCTGAGAATGCTGTGGTAAGAGGATCACAAATCCTAGCCCAACTTGGACAACTTACCTAGACCCAATCTCAGAATAAGCAAAAAGGTCTGAGGATATAGCTCCATGCTCCCAGGGTTCCTGCCCCTGCACTTGAAATAAAAAGTTGGGGCCGGGGAGATGGCTCAGTAGAATAAACGCTTGCCTGGCTAGTATAAAGGCCCCAGTTCCACCAAAAAAGCCCAAAATAAAAAGTTGCTGCTGTCTGTGTAGCATTCACCGCGCACCCTGCCCCATAAACTGTGCTTTCCAGACTCAGCCCTCACAACAACCTCGTAGTATGGGAAGAATACAAATTGAGTTTTACAGTTGGGGAAACTGAGGTGCTGGTAGGTTAAAACAAGCCTGTGCGCCAGTGTGGTGCAGGCCTGTAATCCTAGCACTTGGGAGGCTAAGGCAGGAAGATCGCAGCAACTGCGAGGCCACCCTGTGCTGCACAGTGAGACCTCACCTCAAAAAATCAAAAATAAATAAACAAGCCTGTGTCCTACAGCCAGGAAGTGGGAGGTAGACTCATGTCTACCGTCCTCAGAGTCCCCTGCCACCAAAGTTCCAGCTCCCTGGGACCAGCAGTGCCTGGGCCCCGGATGTATGTATCAAGGCCAGCAACCAATAAAACAGCACAACTGCTCACTGTGTTGAGAGAGGACTAATTCATGTCCTCGGAAGGTGCCGCCAGGGCAGTGTCATCTCACTTCCCCGATGGGGAGAGTTAGGCCCAGAAAGGGGGAGAGCTTTGCTCAAGGGCACATCTGCCCAGTCCCCTCAGCAGCTCAGGATGACAGCAGAACATCAGGGGCCTTTGGTGAGTGGTCTCACGCTTACAACTCAGTTTGTTTATCTGCAAATGGGCTTCCACAGAGGCCAGGCTGCAGAGTAGGCCAAGTTGCAGGAAACAGTGTCCACACCCCGGGTCCTTCGTTGAGGCAGCACACCATGCACTGCTGCTGGTGTGATGACTGCTCTGTCCCCTCGCCTTCCTACCTGCTTCCCCAGCAGGGAAACTAAGGCACAGAGTGGTGGAAGGACCCAGCTGGGCACTGAGCAAGCAGGAGGTCCAGATCCACTGCTCTGCCTGACCTTTCACCACACCATCAAGCTGATCAGCCTGATCCTTCACCCTCCCCATCTCTTTTCTGCCAGGTGAACCAGGACCACAGCCGAGTGAAGCAGGTACCAAAGGGGACTGACGTCCTGGGTCGGGGGTGGGCAGGGTGGCAGTGCATCAGTCACAGTTCTTCCCTTGTCAGTGACAGAAATTATAACAGGCATATGAAGGGAAACAACGGGCAGTGCTCTTGGCTCATGAAACTGAGACAGCTGGCTTCATATAGCTGTGTAACGGCTGGCCTCTGGGGTAGCTGGATCCAGGTCCTGGCACCATGTTTGGTTCTGTTGCCTTTCGTTCACACAGCCCAGCTTCCTCACCTTGTGGAAGGGACAGGCAGGGCCAAGTGTGCTTTCCTGAGTGGTCCAGCCAGAGTCCTGAATTCTCTTTGAGTTCAATAGGGGTCAGGCACCTGTCACTGAGCCAGTGATGGAAGCCAATGCAACAGAACGTTCTAGCTGGCTGGCTCCAAGAATAAGTCACAAAGTGGCCAGGGGGTTCCTGCTAGGAAATTTTAGTTGCCAGACCAAAAGAAGAGGCAACAGAGGTCCTCTCCACTGGCTCTGCCAGTGAGGACCAGTCCAGTTGAGGGGTCCCAGTCTTGCCCTGGACTGACCCCTTTGTGCTGTCCCTAGGATCCTCAATATCAAGCCTTGCGGGTGCGTGGCCGGGAAATCCGGAAGCAGCTCGCACTCCTGTACCCCAAGGAGAGCCAGCTGGAGGAGCAGTTCTATCTGCAGGCGCTGAAGCTGCCCAACCATACCCACCCAGACGTGGTAAGCATCATGGTGGACAAGAAGGGGCCCTCTTAGCACCTGCTCCCATGACATCCCCTCCTCTGTGTGTCTGCAGCCCGCCGGGGATGAGAGCCAGGCCCGCGTGCTCCAGGTGGTCGGAGACAAGCCAGGTGGGCCAGGGCCAGGGAGTGGGGCTGGGGTAGGGGCCCAGGCACACTTGGGATCAGGGTGTGGAGGCTGCTGGGGCCCGGGGTACAGCTGCAGCCTTTAGAGCACTTGGCCCTTTGGAAAGTGGCACTGTCTTCCTGCCTCGGCCAAGCACGGGCTCTGACGTTAGTTCTCAGGCTCCCTCTGTCTCCTCACCTCCAGGGCCTGCTCACCAGTGCCCTGTGCCGTCTCTCCTGCTCTGGTCCTCTCCCTTGCCTGCCCCAGCGCACATCCCCTGTCCATCTGCTTCTCTTCTCTCCCTGAGTACGTCATTGTCTTTCCCATCTCTCTGTCTCTGCTGTTCCATCTCTGCCCTCTTAGGCCCCTTTTGTCTTTCTCCATTCCTCTCTCCTCCTTTTCTTCTCCCTCCTCTTCTCCCCCTGTTTCCCTCTATGTCTCCCTCTCTCATTCCTACTGTTCCTGATTCTGTTCCCCACCCTGTTGCTTTTCACCCATATCCAGCTTTCTCCTTCCAACCTCGGGGCCACCTGGAAATTGGCGAGAACCTTGACATCATCCGGCAGAAGTGAGCTCCCCCTGCCCTCCCTGCTGTCCCCACCTAACAGCTGGCAGCCACTCCTGTACCCTGGGCCTCGGCCTGAGATGTGCAAATGCCAGGACCACACCCAGTATAAATATTTGATGCCCACCCGCTTCGCAGCTGGGCTTCCGCCCCAGGTGCCCAAGTTCCCCTTGCCCCCACCATCCCTGCCTTTATGCACTTGGCTGTTTATCTGCCCATCTGTCCTCAGGCGCCTGTCCCATGTGTCGGGCCACCGCTCCTATTACCTGCGTGGCGCAGGGACCCTCCTGCAGCATGGCCTGGTCAACTTCACTCTCAGCAAGCTTGTGCGCCGGGTATGGCCAGGCCAGGAGGGCAGTGTGGAGGGGCAGCGCTGACCCTGAGTTCAAAGGGTTCCAGGCAGACAGGGGGGGTTTTGTGTGTATTAGTGACACATTGATTCTTAGGATGATCTTAGGAAGTGGGTGTTTATTATCCCCAGTTTAGGAAAATTGAGACCTGCTAGTGGGGGCTAACTGGCCCAGGTCACAACCAGCATACAGACCTGGCCAGGAGCCTGCACGTATAAGCACCACACCTCACTGCCCAACTAGGTTGTAAAAGGCAGCCTGGTGCCCGCTGGACATGGTTATGGAGTTGGACATCTCCCCTTAATCTGGAGGGCACTAGGGAGCCCTGGGAGACTTTAGCAGGGTCAGGACATGGCCAGCCCTGGATGAATTTAGGGGAGGAATTGGAGACTGCAGCAGTGTGGCCCTGGTAACACCAGGAACCGACTCAGTATCTTCTATTGGGGGAGGGGAGTGACTCAGGTGACAAGGGGGCCCAGCCTGCCCTGTACTTCACTGACCCCTCCCACAGGGCTTCACCCCCATGACGGTGCCAGACCTCCTCCGCGGAGCCGTGTTTGTGAGTGAGGCCCTGAACTGTCGGGGAGGCCACTCTGGGGCTGGGCAGGGGCCTGCATAGCCGAGAGGCCAGCACAACTCCAGGCACTGTCTGGGGGGGGCTGGGGCTGTGACTGCAGACTGGGAGGTGAGGCTGCCCACCTGTTTTCCCGCAGGAAGGCTGTGGGATGACACCAAATGCCAGCCCATCCCAGGTTTACAACATTGACCCCTCCCGCTTTGAAGACCTCAGCCTGGCTGGGACAGCAGAGGTAGGGCTCGCAGGTGAGTGCTGCCTAGGCGGCGGGGGGCAGAGGGGCAGGAGAGAGTGGGGGACAATAGGAAGCATGGCTGGGGACAGCAGGCAAGAGTACCTGCCCAGGAGACCCCGGCTACCCAGGGGCATGGTGGCACACACCTGCGATCCTGGCACCCTGGGAGGCTGAGGCAGGATTGCAAATTTGAGCCCAGTTGGCAAGTTAGACTGTCACAAAGTAATAATTTTAAAAGGGGTGGGGATGTAGCTCAGTGAAAAGGCCCTGAGTTCAATCCCTAGTCCTACAGAACTAAGAACAACTGGGCATGGTGGTACACACCTATAATCCTACCACTAGAGAGGCTGAGGCAGGAAGATGCCATGAGCTGAAGGCCATGACCTACATAATGAATTCCAGGCCATCCTGAACTACAGAATGAGACTTTATCTTTAAAAAAAAAAAAAAGAAGAAGAAGAAGAAGAAAAAGAAGAAAAAGTGCTGGCAAGATAGCTCAGCAGACTAAGCATCTGCTTAGGCAAGTGCAGGGACCAGGGTTTGATCCCTGGCACCACATGCCATGCCAGCCCCACCCCTGGGCACACTGAGCTGGCCACCTAGACCAGGTGTGGAGGCACACACCTGTAATCCCAGCACTGGGGAGGCTCAAAACGGGAGGATCACTATGAGTCCAATCTGCGTGGTGAGACCCTGTACCAAATACATAAAATCTAGGGGCCGGCGAGATAGCTCAGCGGACTAAAGCACCTGTTTAGGTAAGCACAGGGATAGTGGTTCAATCCCCTGCATCACAAGCCATGCTAGTCCTGTGCCCTGGTGGGCTGAGCCCACCACACAGTCTGGGCATAGTGGCATATGCCTGTAATCCCAGCTCTGGGGAGGCTGAAACGGAGGATCACTATGAGTCCAAGCTGCATAGTGAGACCCTGTAGCAACCATACATTTAAAAATAATTTTTTAAAAATAAAGTCTAAACATCTTTTTTTTTTTTTAAATGAAGGGAAAGGGCAGACCAAATAGCAGATTAAAGCACCTGCAAGCAGGCACAGGGGTCAGGGGTTCAATCCCTGTGCCTGCTGTGCTGGCCCTACTCCCAGGATGCGCTGAGATGGCAGTTGAGACTGGACATATTGGCGCATGTCTGTAATCCTGGCACTTGGGAGGCTGTAAACAGAATCACTACGAGTCTGATCTAGTAATGAGATCCTGAACACCCTGTAGACCCTTCCTTAAAATACAGGAAAAAGAAAAAACAACAGAGGAAAAAACCTGTAGGCTCACTACACAGCAGTATAGGGATACGCTAGCAGTCACGCTCACACAGGATTGTGGCCACCAGAGAAGCCTTTTCCTAGTGTCACAAATGTGATGGTCACCCTGGCTGGTCCCATCGTATCCCCTTCTCTTCCTCCCAGGCTACTTCATGGACCACAGTGTGGCCTCCAAGGACCTGCCAGTCAGGTAACACCGAGTTCCTTTAAATCCTGTCCCCCCTGCGACATTCGCTGCGCCCTCCCTGACCCAACCTCACGTGCTCCCACCAGGATGGTCTGTGCCAGCACCTGCTACCGGGCGGAGACCGACACGGGGAGGGAGCCGCGGGGGCTGTATCGGGTGCACCACTTCACCAAGGTCGGTTGGGGCCGGGAATGCTGCGGGGGTCACCCGACCTGCCAGGCCTCCTGACTGCTGTGCCCCACCTGCCCAGGTGGAGATGTTCGGGGTGACAGGCCCTGGGCTGGCGCAAAGCTCACAGCTGCTGGAGGAGTTCCTGGCCCTGCAGGTGGAGATCTTGACGGAGCTGGGCCTTCACTTCCGGTGCGGAGTGGGGGGCGCTGTGGGAGGGACAGCATGGGCCAGGTGCTCCCCTCATATCCTCTTCTGGCCTGTTAGGCGACAGGACTAGAGGGACATCTGTGTGTGTCTGCAGTGAGGCCCTCCCTCGGCCCCTTCTCCCACCTGCTCTGCACACACAGCCAGTGGGAAGGAAGGGGAGGAGGGAGCCCCAAGCCTTGCTCACCCCTCTCATAGGGTTGAGAGAGGCCAAGAAAGGTGGATTTTTATGTCTGGGTGACCCAGCAAAAAAACTGGGGTGCTGTTTTGTTATTCTTTCCAATACTGGGGTGGAACCCAGGGCCTTTGTGCTGAACCACACCCCAGGCCTCTTATATTTTAGAGATATGATCTTACTATGTTATCAAAGTGCTCACATTGACACCAAGCATGGTGACTCATTCCTGTAACTTGGGAGGCCAAGGCAAGAGGACCACCACAAGTCCAAGGCCTGCTCAAGCTGCATAATAAACTCAAGTCCAGCTTAAAACTGTACAGCAAGATCCTATTTCAATCAGCAAAAAAAAAAAAAACCAGTGCCCAGGCTGGGCTCAAATGTGCAATCCTCCTGCCTCAGCCTCCAGAAGTCCTGGATCACAGGCCTGTGCCACTGACCCAACTAATGGGGGGGCCATCACAGAAGGGGAATAGCCTGGAGACTTCACTTTCCTTCCATCCCATCTCACCCCCTCCCCTTTTGGCTCTTTCCTGCTTTCCGACCATTTCCCGCAGCATGGGCTGCCTGCTCCTCCTAGGCCACCCTCTACTTCACCCCGTCTCCCTCACCCCTGCTAACCTTCACTGCACCTCTATGCCTGGCTGCAGGGTCCTGGACATGCCTACCCAGGAGTTGGGCCTTCCTGCCTACCGCAAGTTTGACATTGAGGCCTGGATGCCTGGGCGAGGCCGCTTTGGAGAGGTGAGGCTTGCCTTGTCACAGCGGGGACGCAGTGGGGCTGGGAAGGGCGGGCTGGCCCCCCACGGCTGAGCCTCCCAGCCTCTCCTGCCCCCAGGTCACCAGTGCTTCCAACTGCACAGACTTCCAGAGCCGCCGCCTGCACATCATGTTCCAGACTGAAGCTGGGGAGCTGCACTTTGCCCACACGGTGAGGCTGGTGCACCTCTGCCCACCTGCTGCCACCCCTATTCCGCTGCCCACATCCCCACAGGGCCCTGGCAAGCCCAGATCTGAGCACGCCTCCCCCCTAGGTAAACGCCACGGCCTGCGCCATCCCCCGTGTCCTCATCGCCCTGCTGGAGAACAATCAGCAAAAGGTGAGCGGTGCAGAGGGTCCATCACGGGAGGCTACAGGAGGACGGGGCAGTAGCAGCATCTAGAGGCCTGTCTGTCCCCAGGATGGCTCGGTCCTCGTGCCCCCTGCCCTTCAGCCGTACCTTGGCACCGATCGGATCACAGCCCCCACCCACACACCTCTCCGATACATCGGCCCCAACCAGCCCCAGAAGCCCAGGCTCCCCGAGCAGCGAGCATCAAGCTGAGACCCGCTGGCACCCATCTGTGGCTTCTCACCGCCTCCTGGAGCTCAGAGCCCCCAGACTCTGGCCTGTCTTCCTGGGCCCATCCTGATGCCTGCATTCCTCACACCAGTTCGATGCCTGGGCACCGGGACCCACTTCCCTGCCCCTCCTTCCCACTCCCTTGGAGTCAGCCAGCCCTGTGATTGTGGTGGCCACCTGCAACAGGAACACGGGATGTAGAAAGGGAACAGAGCTCCATCCTTCCTCCCTTCTCCCCTCCCGGATGAACAGAAATTCCCAATAAAGAGAGTGGAGAGGACCAGGGAGATAGATCAGTGGAATAAGTTCTTGCCTGGCAAGTGCAAGGTCCTGAGTTCAATCCTTGGTACCACCAAAAAAAAAGACCTCTGTGGGTCTGTGACCAAGGGAAATGCTGCCAGCTGCTCAGTGGTGCCACATTAGCAGGGCATCTGTGACCACAAGGACTGTCACTGAGCACATGTGGAATGGCTTGAGGGCCACCCAGAGGGGTTATGAAGATGGCAAGTGCCCCCATCTCTGGGGACAAGCTGGGCAGTCTTAAGTGGTTCCAGCCCCAGATCTCCCCAGATCCAGCCCCCGACGTGCTTTCCACTCTTCAGCAGGCTTGTGAGTGGCCCTCACACCGCAACTTTACAGCACTTCCTGAATCCAATCACTGTCTTCTCTGGGGCCCTTCTGTGGGGCTTGTCCACCCCATCCCTACTCGGATGTCACAGAAGCCTCTTCACTGTCTCCCTACTCCTTGTGAGCATCTGGGACAGAGCAAGGCCTTCCAGTGCCTAGAGCTGTCCTCAACTTCATCACAGAGGAAAGGACAAAGGGCAGGACCTCGCATCTGTCCTCTTTGGGTTCCTTTCTGTCGTCCCTGCATAAAGTGTATTTATGTGTGTTGTGTCTCTCCTTCTTGTGTCCACTCCAAGGCTGGGGTGCCGGCCAGTTTGTACACTACTGTAGTGCCACAGCTTAAAAGAGTAGGTGCTCAATAAAAGTTTTCCTGACTAGGGCCAAGGATATATAGCTCAGTGGTAGAACATTTGCCTGGCATTCCTGAGGATCTTGGTTCCATCCCTGTGCTGCAGAACAACTCACCAGGTGGTGTGTGGCACTGCCTGAGCACTACATTCCTTGTTTCCGCTTCACCCACAAGCTACAATAAGTCATCACCTTTTTATACATGGGACCATTGTAGGGATGTCGGGCAGCTGTCCTAGGCTGCACACTGCCCGAGTGCTGGAGCTAGGCACTCAGGCCAGAATCTGACTCTGCCTCTGAGAAGCAGATAGGTGAGACCCACTCTCCAGATGCGGAAATGAGGTGCAGAGAGGAGCTGGGAGGGGTTCAGTGAATGGCCACTTGTGGCTTGGAACTTGGGTGAGCTCCTCGCCCTCCATAGCACTCTGAATGGGAAGCCTGAGGGGTGCATGCATTGTGAGGGGCTCCATGAATAATTGAGAGTTGTGGGCAGGTTGGCCGTCCTGCAGCTGTCCAAGTGACGTGGGTGAGGGAGCAGTGGCCACATCACTTCCTCGCCTGTAGGGCCACCCAACAGGTTATAAGGCGTTGGCAGCAGCCGCAGAGCTGAGGACCCGGGTCCCGACACCCTGCCATGGTGCACTGCGTGCTTGTCCCTGCACTTTTGCTGCTGTTAGGGGCCGGTGAGTGCCAGACTCCAACCAGGGGTGGGTGGGCAGGCGGACGGACTGGTGGGCGGGCTGGTGGACCTGGTGAAGGCTGGGTTGGTACCAAGGACAGCGCCCGTCTCCTCCACAGCCACTGCCGCTCCCCTGGTGCCCAGGCCCCATGAGGAGGTGAGTGTGGACCCCTTGCCTCAACTCACCCCATGGGGACCCCTTCCTGCCCAGCTTCCTCCACAGTCCCCCAACCCTTGAGCTACCCCACCCAATCTCCCCTGCCCTCTGACCCTTCACTCCTGCCCCCAGCTGACTCGCTGTCTGGCGGAGGTAGTCACTGAGGTGATGACCCTGGGCCAGGCCCAGAAAGGACCCTGCACAGCTCTTCTCCACAAAGGTAAGGGGACCCCAGTTCTTCTGCAGGATTTTACTCCATGCACCAGGGCTTTGCCCAGGGTACCCCACCTGCCCTCCCACACACCACTTGCTGTCTGCACAAAGGGGTGTCCTGTGGGACCCAGCCCCCCCCTCCCCCGGGCTGTCCAGTGCTTCCACCAGATGCAGCCTGGCCCCAGATCCCCCCTCCTCCCGACTCTGTCCCTGCAGGGGGACAGGATGGAGCTGGGAACACCCCTAACATCTGCCCCTCCTCTCCCAGTTCTGTGCTATGGGACCTCAGGCAAGACCTAGAACTCTTCAGGGTCTCAATTTCCAGGCTTGATGCTCAGAGCATCTGTCTCTTTCTGCCAGAGATATGTAAGACGGAGCTCTATGGCTGCATGCCCCCCAAGGAAGAGGGACTGCTGCATGGGGACTCCAAGAAGCAGGAAGCTGGGAAGACAAGGTCCAGCCAAGAAGTGAGAGATGAGGAAGAGGAGGCAACAGAGAGCACCCACAAGGCCGAGGGGCGAGAACAGGCCACCATCGAGCAGCTCCACAGCCGGCTCTACCAGCAGGAGGAGAAAGAGGACAAGGAAGAAAAGGAGCCCGTGGAGACCGAGGACCTGTGGCAGAAAAGGCTAGAGGGTGGAGAGGGCCCCCAGAAGCGGATGGCAGAGAAGGGCAGTGATGAAGAGACATCCCAGTTTGAGGCAGAGAAGGGTGTGGAGGTGCAGGGTAGGGGCCACAGGCTGTGGCAGGGGGCCGAGAGACATGCAGACTCAGCGCATGGTCACCACCACCACCAGCAGCAGCCAGAGGCAGAGGCCAAGCAGGAGGGTGCTTCAAAGCAGGAGGTGAGTGGGGGAGGAGCACTACGTATTGCCACAAGCAGCTCCCGGACTGGGCAGCAGCACACAGCTGATCTGCCACCAACAAATCAAAATGGCCTAGGCCAAGGTCTAGGCAGCAACATTTAAATCTAAGCAAGGTCTCTGTTGGCTAGAGTGCTTCCCATTTGAGATTACAGTCACTGGGAAGACCAACATTACAAGTGTAGTCGCCAGGAAGGCCACCATGACTGCCTAGAAGCATCCGAGCTAGCCACCCCTGCCAGTCCATAACCATCAAGCTGGCCACCAGGAAAGTGGCTGCTGTAGTGGGCTCACTATTTGGAGTGACCCACTGCTGGGCAGTAGAGGGTAAGATGTCACCAAGATGGGTGACACTAACAAAGCGGCCATCACATCACAAATGGGTCACCCAAGTTGGCCCCCTTTGGTTGTCCCACTGAGCAGTCCACAAAGACCATCAGATTTGCAGGTTGTGGCAAACAAGATGGTATCATTGCACACCACGAGGACCAGGATGCCTGCTGTGGGCCACCATTGTGAGAAGTGACAGGTGCCCCTTAGGGCAGCTGCTTTTGCAGGTAGGCACTGACCACTGTTTCTGATCTCACCAGGAGCATGCCATGGAGCAGCTGGAGCACATGAGTGACGAGCTGAAGAAGGCCACTGAGATCCTGGGGGAGGCACTCAGGAGGGAGGGCTGACCCACCTCACCCCTTCCTCTTTCCCCAGCTGTTCTTAGGGCTTAGGACTGTTGACCCCAAACCTGGCACCCCATCTACCCTAACCTGTAAAGGAGAGAGGAGGGGGCTACCTTGGAACCAAGTGTGAGGGGACAAGTCTGAGCCAGGTGGGGGCTAGGCTTAGAACCACTCAAGGAAACACCTCCAACACCCACCAGACACACACATACACCCACCTTCTGAGTGAATAAAGCACAAAGAAAACCACTGGGGCCTGTTGTGTAGCCCTTGACTTGTGTGTGTGTGTGGGGGGTGACCCAGATGACTGGCAAGGGCACTTCAGTCTGGGCTCTAGTCAGAACAGAGATTTTATTAAACTGGCAATTATATTAACAAAACAAATCAGATGGGATCAGGGTTGTCAGGAAGCGGTGTGGACACTGGGGCAGGAAGAAGCTTGCTTTGGCTCCGACCACTGTGGACCACAATGTCATCGTATTCATCCTAGGAGCAGAGCAGGTGGCAGGGGGGCTCAGGTGGTTGCCACCTTGCCCTCTGCCCAAGTCACTCACTGTACAGATCTGGTCTTGCCTGAGTTCCCTGCTCCTGGTTTAACTTCCCATGCCTGGTGCTCAAGGCGCCCTTTCCAAGTCCCAGCTCCTAGGCCTGGGTCCTCCCACTACACAGGCCAGACCTGTATCCCACAAGCAACTAGCGGTGCCTCCTCCACCTCTCAGCCTTAGCCCAAATTCTTCACCCCCACCCCCATTCCACACATCCCTTGCCAATGTCCTGGCACTTGGGCTCTCCAGTAAAACCTCTCCTCCCCTCTCCTGGCAGCCATGTTCTAATCCCTGCTGCCAGTCACCCGCCAGCAGCCTGCGTTCTCCAACTCTTGCACCCCCAAATCTCTTCCCATGCTGTGTCTACTCACTACAACCAAGATCTCCCCCCCTCTGCCCAAGCTGTGCTCACCACTGCTTCAGCTTTTGCACCGCCTCTGCCCACCTTCTTCCTGCCACCCCAGCCAGTACTCACCACTGCCCACATCACTCCCACGGCTACTGAGTTCCCTAACAGAAGTGGCCCAAGGGTCACTGTCTCGTCACCTAGTCACCTTGCTTCCTTGACCCCTGCCAGGCTACCCCCTACCACCTTCCTCCTGACTCACGCCCTCATCTCTGCTGTCGCTGTCACTGTCACTACTGCTGCTGCAGGGGCCAGGCTTCTCATCTTCATCGTCAGGCTCCGGGGCTCCATGTAAGCGGAGGAGGTGGGCAAGGACGCTGTTGCGCCGGAGCAGGGCGCTGCCCAGTGGGGTGCGGCCCCCATACATGCGGGCGGCGGGGTTGGCACCCGCCCTTAGGAGAAGCTCCAGCACATCGGCCGCCTGTGCCTCCACTGCCAAGTGCAGGGGACTCCGGCCACATGTGGGCTCCTGTAGAGCACAGCAGAGGTCACTAGCCTGACTGGCAGACGCCCACACACCTACACACACACACCTGCGCCTACAGCGCCTCACCGGTTTGTTGAGGTCAGCTCCAGCATCCTGGAGCACACGGACCATTTCTGCATCTTTGTGGATGACTGCCACATGGAGTGGTGTGTGGCCTGGGGACAGAGTAAATAGTGTCAGACAATGGGGTGAGGTCCCTGGGCCACCAGTGCTATCATCCCACAGGAAGGCCATCCTGTGTACATGAAACAGGCATGGACATCACATGCCCGAGTTCAAGGTGGTCTGACGGTCCTGGCCTCATCCCCTGGCAATGGGATGTATGGGTCCCAAGGTGAGGAGTCTGGGGTCTTAGGATGGGAGCTCTAGATTGTGGGGCCAGAACACCTGAGTCTCTGGTCTCATTTCACAAAAGATCTGGGACCTGAGCAGCTCAAGAGCCTGTGACCTTCCTTGGGTTGGAGGGTGGGCTCTGACCACCAGGCACCAAATGACCTCAGTCCATTTGTGGAAGGCGCTGGGCCCTGGCAGCTGGGCTTCCTGGTCAGGGAGCTGAGACTCAGAGCCAGGGCTCTGGGGGACAGGCCCTTCCCCACAAGGCCTGATGGACAAGCCTACTGGCCCTTAACCCTGCTGCCTGAGGCTGGGACCCTGCAGTCTGCAAAGCCAGGCTCTCAATCCCTGAGTCCTGAGTGGGCAGGGGCTGTGCTGTGTGCCTAAAAACAGCAATCCTGGATGGACTGCACCTTGCAGTAGGAGCTAAGCTTGGCTCAACCACTGGATCCTGGCAGCTTGGGCTCTGGGTCCCAAGTGGTCTGAAGCCACCATCCTGGATCACTTATGTCCCATTCTCCATTATCCAGGGTCTGAGTGGTAATCCTTGGTCCTGAAGCCAGGGTCCCTGAAGCCCAGGCTTAATTTTCCAAGGGGCTGGGTTTTGAGTTAGAAAAGCTGAGCCCAGAGCCAGCTGCCCCACCCTATGGGGACCCAGTCCCACCTGGGTGCTGGGTCCTTCTCCAACCCTCCTCACCCTCGTAATTCTCGGCCTCCAGCTGTAGCTTCCAGTCCTCCTCACTCTCCTCCTCCTTCTCCAACTCAGGCTCAGGGTGCAAGGCAGCTGGGGTGTGGCTGGTATCTGGGGTGTGGTCTCGGCTCTGTGTGAGGTAGCTGTAGGAGGCTTCCTGGGGGCGAGGCTGGAGCAGCACACGTGCACAAGCCGGGGCCCCCACACGACAGGCTAGGTGCAAGGCCGTATGACCACTGCGCTCTCCCACCAGCAGCCCTGCACCCGCTGCGTACAACTTCTCCACGGTGGATGCCTCCCCAAGGATAGCTGCCAAGTGCAGGGCTGTCTACAGGAGCAGAAAGCAGAGGTTAAGGTCACACGGAGGACCCTGGATCCCATGCCCTGCACTGTCCCCTGTGGCTTACTTGGCCTAGATCATTCTGCAGGTCCAGATACTCAGTGCCCGCGGAGAAGCCCAAGAGGAAGTCCAGGAAGGGCTCATGCTGATGAATCACAGCCAAGTGCAGTGCTCTGGGGGCAAAAGCAGGGGGCAGAGGACAGAGGTCAAGCACTGTGCCCGCCTGCAGCAAACATGGAGCACCTACTGTGTACTAAGCACTGTGACCACAGTTCTAGAAACAGCCATCAGCCTCTGGGAGGAGAGCAGAGCAGGTTAATCGATGTTTATGAAGTGGGACTTCCAGTTCCCTTCAAAATGAAGTAGTACTGGGGGCCAGGGAGATGGCTCAGTGGAATAAGTGCTTCCCTGGCAAGCACAAGGGCCTGAGTTCAATCCCTGGTTCTGCAAAAAAAAAAAAAAAAAATGTAGTATAGGGCCTGGGATATGGCTCAGCAGCACAGCTCCTGCCTCGCAAGCATGAGGTCATGGGTTCAATTTCCAATACAAAGCAGAGAGAGAGAGAGAGAGAGAGAGAGAGAGAGAGAGAGAGAGAGAGAGAGAATATCCTTCAAAATGAAGTAATATGACCAATTTCTCTCCCATCTGAAACAACTGAAAATAAAATCAGACCAAAAAAGTATAAGACTCAATAGTTGTGTTGTACTTTGTTTTGTTTGTCTTTTTAAAGAAACAGGCTCTCTTGCTATGCAGGTCAGGCTGGCCTTGAGCTCACTTTGTAGCCCAGGCTGGTTTCAAACTTGCAGCAATCCTCCTGCCTCAGCCTCCTGAGTGCTGGGATTACAGGTGTGTGCCACCTTAATTCTGAAGACACTAGACATCATGAAATAAATCACAGTAACTCCTGAAAGACAGGGAACACGAGGTGATGCCCTACAACTGACTGCCACAGTTACTGTCCAAGAGAATTCCTAAGCTGTGGGTGGTACAGAGACAGGAAAGGTCTCAGGGTAACTGAGAGTCTGGAGAGACCAAGGTGCCTGAGCCACAGGCCCAGCATCTACAAGGCGAGAGCTGCACAAGGAGAAAGCCCTGGACATCTGCAGAGGGTCCCAGCAAGTATTCAGGAGGGCACCAGCCAGAGTCTGTGTGTGAGTCCAGGGATGAAGGTGGGACAGCCACCTAAAAGGATTAGAGAAAAGTATCCATCATAAGGCCCAGGGAGATAGCTCAGTAGAATAAGCGCTTGCCTGGCAAGCGCAGGGTCCCGAGTTCAATCCCCGGTACTGAAGAAAAAAAAAAAAAAAGTATCCATCATTCATTCAGAATGGTGCCTGTTCCTCCTAGCTGGGCTGGAGCAATTCGGCATTCACATGACCCTGGGTGTTACACTCACGAAGGTTTTGCCTCAGTAGTGGGAAATAATAAATCAGCTCAGTACACAACTAGCAAGTCATAAAGGCAAAACTCAAGAAAGGATCAAACTAATTTGAAGTGATTTAACTGCATCCCAGATCAATACTCAGGAATAGTTATACAAATACAAAACTGTCCAGCCTAACAGGGTAAACTTCTCAATGTGTGGCTTCCTTTTATTTTATTGTATTTATTTTTGGATGTATTTAGTACAGGGTCTACAGGGTCTCACTCCACAGCTCACACTCATTCAACTGCGCTATCTCCTCAGCCTGACACAGGTGTTATAACTAGCAAGCAAGAATATCAAAATAACTACTACTCACACTGGGCATAACAGCACCTGAAATGACACAGTACCAAGCGGGGTGTCCTCCCAAAGCCTCATTTGATCATAGTTTTTTCGGAGGTGGCTGAACCTAGAGTGTGTGATTGATGCCTAGAACAATGCTGGGATTAAGGGTGCTGGGATTAGGGGTAAGGGACTGCTGAATCAGCCCACTGATCAGACTGACAATGCCCTAATCCTGGTAGACTGGATATAATATAAAGGACAGAGAGAGGCTTGGCCTATGCTCTCTCTGTTGTTGCTTGCACTGCCTTCCACCACCATGAAGTATTAGCTCTCTGTCACGTGCCACCAGGCCTTGGAGCCGGCTGATTATGGACTATAAACTCCACAAACTGTGAACTAAATAAACCTTTCCCCTTTTAGCTTTGGGTATCAGGGGATTTTGGGGGGTTTTCTTGGTGGAACTGGGGATTGAACTCAGGCGCTTGTGCTAGCCAGGCAAGCACTTACTCTACTGAGCTATCTCCCCGGCCCTGAGTATCAGGGGGTTTGGTGCTATTTTTGTTTTGTTTTGTCTTTTTAAGAAGGGTCTCTCTATGTGACTCAGGCTGGCTTTGAGTTCATTTTGTAGCCCAGGCTACTCTCAAACTCTCAAGGATCCTCTTGCCTCAGCCTCCTAAGTGCTAGTATTATACGCATGCGCCACCATGCCCATTGAGACCCTATCTTAAAAGGCAAAAATAAAAGACAGGGTCTTGTTATGTAGCACAGGGTGGCCTCAAACAGAGATCCTTCTGCCTCAGTCTCAGAAGGATCCCAAGCCCAGTAGTTTGAGACTACCAGCCTGAGCCATAGATCCCAAGACACCATCCCAAAAGAGAAAAGAGAATCAGTGAGTTAAGCGACAGCTTCAAGAATCCTTATATATGTTTAACTGAGGTCTCTAAAGGAAGGGAGATGGGGGGAACTACCCGCTCACCCCCCTCTCCTGTCCCTCTAGGGACAGGAGCTTTCTTTCTCTCAATAAATATATTCTGCTCATAAAAAAATAAATAAAAATAAATAAAGGGAGAGGTAGATAAAACATTACAAGAAATAATAGATAGAATTATTTATTTATTTATTTATTATTATGTGTGTGTGTGGCCAGCTCAGCCCACCAGGGGGCGGGGCTGGCTGGCATGTGGTGCTGGGGGATTGAACCGCGGTCCATGTGCTTTGCTAAGCTTGTTCTAAGTAGGAGCTTTAGACCACTGAGCCATCTCACCAGCCCATAACATTCTATGGTCAATTTTTTTTTTTTTTTTTTTGCGGAACCGGGAATTGAAGTCAGGCCCTTGCATTTACCAGGCGAGCGCTTATTCCACTGAGCCATCTCCCCAGCCCCAATAGATGGAAATTTGTCAAATTTGATAAAAGTTATAAATCCATAGATTTAAAAAGTTCAATGAACCCCACAAACAGGGAATATGAAGAAAATTACAAGGTTTGTCATAGGCACATTGTTCAAAATCACTGAAGACAAAAGTCTTTTTAAAAAATTTAAAAAGCAGAACTGGGTGTGATGGTGCATGCCTGTAATCCTAGCACTTGGGAGGTTGAAACAGGAGGAGAGAAAAAAAAGAAAAAATAAAAAATAAAAAATAAATAAATAAATAAAAAGAAAGAAGCAGGAGGAGAGAGGTTGAGACAGGAGGATCTCTGTGAGTTTGAGACCAGTCTGAGGGCTACAAAAGTAAGCACAAGACCAGCCCAAATTGCACAGTGAGACCCTGTCTCAAATCAAATAATAAATAAAAAGGACAAAACTCTTCAAAGCTTCCAGAAGCCAGGCACGGTGGCACATGCCTGTAATCCCAGCACCTGAAAGGCTGAGGTCAGTTTAGACTACAGTGAGTTCAAGCCACCCAGAACTATATAGCAAACTGTTTAAGGGCCAGCGTGATAGCTCAGCAGATTTAAGCACCTGCTTAGACAGACACAGGGGCCATGGGTTCAATCCCAGGCACACTGAGATGAGATTGAGGCTGGCGTGGTGGCGCACACCTGTAATCTCAGCTCTTGGGAGGATGTAAACAGGTGGATCACTACAAGTCCGATCAACACCCTGTAGACCCTTCCCTAAAATACAAAAAAAAAAAGTCCAGAAAGAAAAAAACAAATCAGACCCAAAGTAATCAGAAGAAAGAAAATAATAGCATTGAACAGGGACCAATAAAATAGAAAGTAAAGGAACAATAGAGAAATTCAATAAAACCAGAGCTGGTTCTTTGAGATCAGTCTTTACTGAGTGCCGCCTATGGGTCTGGTTCTGTTTGAGTCACTGGGGACATAGCAGTAAACACAACAGACCAAAAAACCGGGGTACAGTCCCTTACATGGGCCTTTCATTTTTTGTATGGGGGATTGAACTCAGGACCTGGCTTGTATTTGCCAGGCAGGCACTTACGCTGCTGAGCTATCTCCCCAGCATGTGGGCCTTTAAAGTTGCTTGGTCACTCACCCAGAATATTCTCCTCTGGGTTTAACTCCTTGTCTCATTTTCTTGTTTTTGAAAGCATTTATTGCCTTTTGACAGACTTTTTTTCTTTCCTTCACTGTGTCTTTTACTTTTCAAAATAAAAAACTTCAGAACGTTTATGTTAGGTGTCATAAATTTACCCTGAGATTTTACCAATATCTTATTAATTTTGATACACTGCATTACTTTCACAATTCAATATACTTTCTAATTTCTATTTTGATTTCTTCCTGTTTCTTTTCCTTTCTGCCAACGTTTCTATATAGCCCCACTAAAATAATCCATAACGATAAATTTTTGCCTGTTTTCCTGGCTGCCACATCACTCATATCTAAAACGTAATAGTACGTGAGAAATATTTCGTTAACAGATGGATCTCTGTTCTCATGGAACTACATCCTTGAATTTAAGATTTGAAGACCAGTGCTCACAAAACAGGATCACAGAGTCAAGGGAAAATATTAATTTTGGAAATCAAAGTCTAAAGCCCATAAATCAAAAGCTAAGTAAGACTGTTTGGAGGTTACAGGTCAGTAGCAGTCTGAGTCAATGTTTCACCAGGAAAGTTCAAATCGGATTTTGGGTACTAGGGTGTGGATTCTAGGTGCTGAAAATATAAGATTTGAAGTTATTGGGTTTGGATGAAAGTAGGACAGCAGTTCTGTTACGTTAGCACTTTGGGGTTAGGAGTAACCCATCAGGAAGTCTAACGTCGGAAGTCAAATTTAGGAGTTAAAAAGTTAGGAAGCCACAGGGATCAAAGACTGATAGGGAAACAAACGTCAGATTCTAGGGCTCAGTTTGACAAAGGTTCACTCACGTGTCCCCGTCCTCAGTGACGTAGCCAAAGACCAGGGGCGCCCACGACAGCCCTGGGCCCAATTCTGCGCCCAGCCCCGAAGCTCCAGGAGCCGCTGCGTCGGGACCCAGAGAGCCCAGGCCGCTGTCGCACCATTCATCAGCATCCGCAGTTTTTCCCAAGCACGCGACCCCGGCCATAGCCCCAACCACCTCCTTGACCCCCTACGGCCACCCGCCGTCTGGGCTCTGTCGGGAGCTCTGGCGCTTCCGCCCTACTGGGAATTCCCCAACACGCCCCCTAAATTACCCAATCAGAATAGAGAAAATTGCTCACGTCCTGCCCCCATAATGTACTATGACCAATCAGAGTATTCAAATAGATTACGGCTCTCGAGTCATTCCCGCATTTTCCGGACGCCCTTTACCAATATGGCTGCCAACGCCAGTCTCTCTGGGACTTGTAGTCTGATCCTCGCCTATCTTGCGGGAACAGGTCTACGTGACCGCAATGGCTGCTGGGAGTTGTAGTTCTGTGCCCTATCCTTGCCCCTCCTATTTCCGGTGCCGTCACGGGACAGAGCAGTCGGTGACAGCCCCGAGGGCCCCCGCCCCGCTCTCATGGCTGAACCGGACCGTGAGTCGGGGACCCCGGTGGGAGGGTCGGGCCGCGCCGGGGTCTGACTAAGGGCTGCAGGCCCCGGGGCCCGAAGGCACGTGCGGTAGGCGGGAGATAGGGGCTGCATGGAGTGGGATTAAGGGGGCTGTTGCTAAATGAATGGTTCATATCGCTAGATTGGCGGGTTGGATTGCGAGTTTTAAGGGTCTGTTTAACATGTCCGTTTGCTAAGTTACTACTGATCGCGTGTTTCTCGCACTTTGATTGCTAAAGACCCTCATTACTAAGGATCTAAGTGGCCTTGATCCTGGTTGTTAAGGGTACCTGTTGTAAGGGGCAACTATAGGATGCTAGAGGGGACCCCTGGTGTCCCCTCCTGTCTCTTCCCTCTAGTTCCTGTGCCTCTCCTAAACCTACCACCTCCACTGCTCCTCTCTCCCAAGCCTGCCTCCCAACCGAGGTATCACTTATCTACTCTTTTTGACAAACTTTCTTCTGCTTTGTAACCTAACCCTCTGACACTGACACACACTACCTTTCTAACTACCCCCAAGTCTTCCTTCAGCCCTGTGTCCCCTGTTACCTCCTCTTCCTCCTAAACCTTCTGAGTTTTGGCCTCTGCTGCCCTGACTAACCACCTCTACAGCTAGCCTCCTCCACTCCAGCCCACGCTTTATTCCATCCCACTCACCCAGTTTTATTTTTATCACCACCTGACCCCAGTATAACTAGATTGGTGGGTCTTTGGGCCCCACCTGCTCCTTGAACCTCTTTGTTCCCCTCTTAACCATTCCCCCCACTGTAACCACCTCTGCTCCCCCTCCTCCCCAGCCTCTGACCCTCTGGAGACCCAGGCAGGGAAGGTGCAGGAGGCTCAGGTGAGATGGGGATCGGGTGGAGGGAAGGAGAGACATGGACTTGCTCCCTCATTCCCCACTGGCGGGAGGTGGCAGATGGGAGAGTGTTACCCCTACCCTTAGCCCATTGCCCCAACCCCTGGCCCCACCTGGCACAGCTTCCTGGGGACTGTCAGAGAAAAGTGCACGTCTTGACCCCAGGCTTGCCCTCCCAAACTTACCTCCTTCCTTGCTCTGGGCAGCCACTCCAACCCATTTCTTTCTCACCCTCATGTGTGCTAAGCCTGGAAGAGACAGATATCCAACTTGGCACCTGAACTCACGGATCTCATGGACAGATGACAAGAAAATGACCCTATAGGGTGATTGTGAAAGTAACTCAGGGCACTGTAGGAGCCAGAGCAAACTGTGGGTCACGTAAAACTCCTGATGGGGCCTTCCTAGAGGAACCCAAAGGCTGATCTAGGAATCAGACTGAGCTATAGACACTGTGTAGTGAAGAGTGACTTGGAATTTTCTTAGACAGAGGTGAGAAGTGGTGTTCCACACAGTGGTGTTCTACAGCTTGTGCAGAGACCTGGGGCAGGAAAGAGTGTGATGCATTGCTTTGATGACCGGGTGGCTAATGATACCCATGGTTAGTGTTTATTGCCTGCTTACCACAGCCAGAAACTCTGCTCAGTGTTTCTTGGCCACTTCACTCTCCTTTAATCTGCCTCTGAGGAGTAAGGCCCACCATGGCTGTTTTACTGACTTGTCCTTTGGTGGAGGAACCGGAAAGAGTTTGAGACCAATAGTACTTGGACATGTTGCCCACTGGATGCAGCAGGGAAAGGATGCTTGAAAGTACCTGCCAATGTCTCCCACTCCCACATACTGGGCAGTCCCCTCCCCCACAGTGCCTTACTGTCTACACTCCAACCAAATGCCAGACAGCGCTCACCTATGACACACCTCATATGTAGGCCAGAAGCTACCTGTGATTCGGCTAAGTGTGGTGCTGTTTCTCTAGCCCCTTTTTTTTTTTTTGGCGGAACCAGGGATTGAACTCAGACCTTTGCACTTGCCAGGGAAGCGCTTATTCTACTGAGCCATCTCCCCGGCCCCTCTCTAGCCCTTTGGAGGCTGAGGCAGGAGGATCTCAAGTTTGAACTCAGCCAGGACAACTCAGCACCTAGTGAGACACTGTCTCAAAATTTTTTAAAAATAGAGATGGAGATGTAGCTTAATATAAAGGCCCTCAGTGCAATCCCCGGTATTGAAGAGGAAAAAAAAAAAAAGAAACTAAAGCAGCTGCAATTACCCCACAAGGGACAGCAGAGCTGTGTCAAGGACATGACAGCCTCCTGTCAGTCCTCAGTGTCTCACTGGCCTGGGTCCCAGAACACAACCATGGCCTGAGAAAATGTCTCATGGTCAAAATGGATCTTCAGTACCAAAGAGAGACGAGGACGTGAACTCCAGCATTGTCGCTAATAGGGCAAGACTGGGAATGGCCCAAACGGCTGTCGAGAGCTGAGTGAAGTGAGCTGCGGTTCATCCATACAATGCAATACTGTGTAGCTGCTTAAACGAACAAGGTGGATCTGTGCTATATTGTTCAGTAGAAAATGCAGTGGGTTGACTTATTTTTGTTTAAAAAAAAAAGTATTTTTATATACAGAGAACAAATCTGCAGTAACTACTGCTGTACTGTTAATAGTGGTCATCCCAGCAGATAGACTGGGGAAATCACAAGACAAGAGCCCATATTACATGTCTATGGCCAGAGCTTTGGTAAAGCTTTTGTAATCTTAAAATGGATAAAAAATATTAATATATTTGCAGGAGAGATTTTCATTCAGAACATCTCAGGAGGCCAGGGAGATGGCTCAGTGGAATAAGTGCTTCCCTGGCAAGCGTAAGGGTCTGAGTTCAATCCCTGGTTCCGCAAAAAAAAAAAAAAAAAAAGAATATCTCAGAACCAGTAAAAAGTGACTGGGGAAGGGGTGAGCAGAGGGTCTGTGTGCAAGAGGCTGAGCCCCAGGCTAAGTGTTTGGCAACACCATTAGGGGCCAACACAGGTCCAGCCCATACCAGGCGTGTTCAATAGTGGATGTTTTGCAAGCGCTGCCTTCAGAGCTGGGTGTTCAGTGCTGAACACGGACAGTCTCTGCCCTCATGTTGCCAATGGCATGGTGAGCTGTGGAGATGTGTGTGATCAGAGGATGAGGGTAGAGAAGCCAGAGAAGGGGCTCTGAAGTAGGGACATGTGGGCAGGCCATCCTGTGGAGGCTGAGTGGATAGGACACCCTGCAGAGGTGGGAGGCAGGCTGGGGGACAACGAGACCACAGTGAGTGGCACCTGGGTGGAGGAGGAGGGGTGCTGAGTCCGGCCTATAACAGGATGGGAGGGAGAGACCTTGAAGTCACATGGACAAGGTTTCTGGGAAGCCTCAGGAGCCCTGGGTCTGGGGACAGCAAGGTGGCATCAGCAGCAGCTAAGCAAGGCCATTGACACAGGTGTGGCAGGTAGCCAGAGAAAGTGTGGAAGGGAAGCAGGAAAGGCGCAGGACAGAGTCCCAGAGCACTGTAGTTGGGAGGGCCCAGGGGGGAGCACCAGGCCTCTGGCAGGCATTATCTGCCCCTGCCTTCACAGAGCAGGCTTGCGAGGCTGCTGGGGAGAGACAGTGCCCTGTTTTCCAGGGGACTGGGACACTGGTATGTGTCAAGAACAATGCCCAGGGCTCCCTGAGCGCTGGTGCTATGCTGGACGCGTCCCGTTTATTACCTGGGTCCATCCTCCCTTCAGCCCTCTGTGCTCTGTCTTCAAGATGAGGAGCACAAAAGCCTGCAGGTGAAGGCGTTCTCCCGGTCATGCTCCTTGGGAGCAGCAGGCCCAGGCCTCCCCAGGCAACCTGTCCCAGAGCCCACACGCTGGTCATACCACCCTTCACTTCCCTGGGACATGTCGCAGAGTCTTCCCTCCCAAGTCTGGCAACCCCCACCCACCCACTCCCCTTCTTTCCTAACCCCACCTTTTGGGCATGGCCATCCCACCCCACCCCTTCCAGGACGTAGACTCAGACGCTGAGGAAGGCGCATCTGGAGGAGAAGCAGAGAGTGAGTGTCCTCCTTGGGGGGCAGGGCTGTGGGGGTGTGATTTTAGAACAAAGGCTGGGGACAATGCCTCCTCCACCAAGAGTGACATACAAAGTATGTAACTTTGTTGGATGTGGTGGCCTATGCCTATCATCTCAGCACTTGGGAGGCTGAGGCAGGAGGATCACAAGGCTGAGGCCAGCCTGGGCTACATGGCAAGTTCCAGAGCCCCTGTCCACTGCACAGCAAGACCCTGTCTCAAAAAACAAAACAAAACAGTATGCAGTAAAAGACGCAGTGCTGAGTAAGGCTGGGCAGTGCATGACTCCATCATTGGGGGGGGGAATTCCAGGGGTTGGGGTGGACCCCACGCATCCTCGCCGAACACTCACCCAGCCACTGTCTCCTTCTTATTAGTGGATTTCCTGAGGAACTTATTCTCCCAGACCTTGGGCCTGGGCTCCCAGAAGGAGCGCCTGCTGGACGAGCTCACCCTGGAGGGGGTGGCCCGCTACCTACAGAGCGAGCGCTGTAAGTCACCCCTACCTGCCACCGTTCCCCTCCTGGACCCACATGACCTCACACCTTTTGCTTAGGAGTAGCAAGAAACCCAACTCTTTGCCAAAAAAGGAATGTGTGGACCCTAAAATACAGCTGTAGGCATGGCTGGAT